ATTTATATTAATAGATTTCATAAGCATAATGCATATTCTACTAATTAAGAAATGTGTGTTTTTGTTTTTTGTGTTAGATGTGTGTGTGAAATCTGTATGTGTAAACTTGCTTGTGTTGGAAAGAATGATTTTTCACACTGTGATATTAATAAATACTGTCAGACAGTCTTGTTGACCACACATGACATTTTATTGGCTATATCCACAGGTTTCAACTGACAGTCATTTCTGTATAGGACTACAAGTTAGTAAAAAACAAGTGTTTTTTTCTTTCTTCTTGTTCAAGAAATCATAAATGATGTGGGGAAAAAATGGCAGAAGGCCTTAAACAAAGTTACTTTTTGCCGTTGAAACTCACAGTTAAGAATCAATAATCAGATTTACACTCATCACCCCAAAATCTGATGTGTGCTTTTATGATTCGTCTGTGACCACAGCAAAATGTAGAATGTGTCCTCTGCTGCAAACTCTGTGGTAATGTGTGTCACAGTGGCTGTATCTTTTGCATTTCACAGATCATGAAAAGCAAGCTTCTCTATGCTTATCTTATCAGTAATAGCCCTCAGTGTTTTATTGTTGTTTCTACTAGCCAGTTCTGAGAAAAGACACAGTGAAGAACATGAAATAAAACTATTTTACATTCAGTCTAAACTAATATGAAACCATTAGCAGGGTAGAGAGGAAAAGAAAAAAACTTATTTGACATACCAGTTATCATAAACACATTTTGATTTAATGAATTACATTTCAGTAAATTATGTGTTATGACTTTGGTAGAACTGTGAGAATGTTACAAACAATGGGACAATTTAATAGGTCAGAAGTAATAATTAAAATAAATAATAAAATCAAATAAACAATCGAAAACTGAAACTTATACATGTTTTTTTTATACAAACCGATTTTCTTTTTTTCTTAAAATTTCATACTCAATTTTAAGGCATGGTTTAAAATATAAGACATGTCTCTGGTGAAAATGAAAAGTCAGTAAAGGAGTGAAACCCTTTAAAATATTTTGAATTAGCCTTTTTTAAAATGAAATATCATGGAAGACCAAAGTATGAAGATGTTGTTTCCAAAAACATCAAGGATGTCGGACTGTCTGCGGTGACATGTCATGTAATGTTGTTTTATTGTCTCTTGCTGAACAATACTTTGTGCTGATTGGGCGTGATCTTTATCATCATCATCATGGCTGTATGCGCAGAGAGACTAGAAAGAATGTGGCCTACAATCTTTTCTATGGCTAATGTAATAATTACAGTTATTGCTAGATACACTCTAACCTAAAATTGATCAAATCCAGAGACTCTTAATGTAAGTCCAGAAACAAGGTGTTATGTTGAACGTACATCAGCGGTGGTCATTTATTTTAATATATACTTTATATTTTGCTACTATGCCATGATGAACGACTGTGCAACTATCAGCATTTGTTTCACCTCACACATACACATATCCATTACGGTACTATTCACATACAAATCAATAAGCTTGATTGAGTATTTATCATCATGTATGGTTGAACTTATTGAGGTGAAAAGGATGATGCCCTGACAGTTTTCTTATCAGAATAATAACAAAATAATATCACATACAACATTCAGCTAATGGCTAATCCAAAAAATGTAAACATCAGAATCCCACCTTCGAGTAAAATTCTGGATAGAAAATGTTATTTAAAAAAAAGTTTTGCTAAATCCCAACTCCTCCCTACGCAGATCTAGCTGCTGCAGATCTCTAACTTTGGTTTGTTAACTGTTTGATAAAAACAGTACAAAAAATACTGCTGTATAAAAAACCGAATCAAGCTCTCAAGTCTCCGCATGAAAATTGCACAGCATTATTTTTTTAAATCTTGTTCTTCCTCGAAATAAAGAGCTGGTATAATAAGTATCGCCGCAGTTGCCGAAAGGCTCTCGTTTTTACTTTCTATGCTTTTTCCAAAACTACAGTTGGTACTGTTGCACTTCTAATCCAGTTCTATATTATTTATACCGTCAAGTCATCTGACCTTGCCCGACTGCTGGCTTTGCTCAGGCTGCTAAGCGGTCGCGTGTCTTCTATCGTCTCGCTGGCGTCCACATCTGCTTCGATGGCCAACTCGTCCTCGTCTTCATCCCTGCATACAATTCCCGCCGCCGCGTTCGGTCCTATCACGGTCGTCTGGGCATAGGAGGGCAGCGTTTCGTCATACACCTTAGACACGTCTTTCTTAGGTGCTGTCGCCTTGTCCGTTTTCTCCTCAAATGGCTCGTACGGAGCTGGAAGCCGGCCAGCCTCCATTCCCCCTACCTCAGTCAGAGGGAAGAAGTGCGACGTGGCTTTGTCCTCCTCCAGCAACTTGTAGCCTTTGGCTTTCTGGATCGAGGAGGACGCTATGGAAGGCAAGGCCTTCTCGGCCGCCCCTGGTCCCTCAACTTGTGGCTGCACCGGTTTACGGAACACAAAGTGGATCTTTTTCAAACCCAAATGGCTGATTTCCACAAAGTTGAGGAAAAGCGAGACGCAGGCCACGGCTAACATGAAGATGATAAACACAGTTTTCTCGGTAGGCCTTGAGACAAAGCAGTCGACTGTGTTTGGGCATGGCCAACGGCTGCACTTGTAGAGCGGCAGGATTCGGAAGCCGTACAAGTAGTACTGGCCCACCACAAAGCCTACCTCAAAGAGAGTCTTGAAGATAATGTGGCAGATATAGGTCCTCAAGAGAGTGCCCTCTAGACGGAACTTCTTGCTGCCCTTTGTACTCGTCTCCTTGGCCGTACGGACGCTTCCCTGATCGGGCGCGATCGGCAGCCTCTCCTCATTCATCTCTTGCTGCCTGTTGAGCTCAGCCTCCTCCCGTTCCTTGCGCTTCTCCTCCATGTGTACATGGTGGACAGCGTGGCCCACATACACCAAAGAAGGCGTGGAAACGAAGATGATCTGGAGCACCCACAGGCGAATGTGCGAGATGGGGAAGGCCTCGTCGTAGCAAACGTTCTCGCAACCCGGCTGCTGCGTGTTGCACACGTAATCCGATTGCTCGTCGCCCCACACGAACTCTGCGGCCGTGCCCAGGATGAGGATTCGGAAGATGAAGAGGACCGTGAGCCACACCCTACCGATTACTGTCGAATGCTCATTTACTTCCTCAAGGATGTTGCCCAAAAAGCTCCAGTCACCCATGGTTGACTGTCAGCACTGCAGAGCAAACAAAATAGATGTTTGAAAGCGGGCAGAGATGCGAAATGTTTTTTTTTTGTATTGAAAATTTGGGAGTATACTTTATGTAGATTGTCCCAATACTGTTGGAAATGCGTTGATAGAATTATTAAAAAATCACATTTGCAGCATTAGTTCTATCAGATCTAAAAGCATCTAGAGTTCGAAAGATAATCAAATCACGACATTTTATATTTTTTCACCCCGTCTAAAAAACGTCACAAACTCTTACATTTCACATCCGACTCTTAAAAAAAAAAAAAAAAACACCCCAAATTCTCTACAACCGAATCAAATGCATAGCCAGAGGTGCTCTATATAGAACAAACAGCAATACAGATAAAGAGTATAAAATGGGCAACTTGCCACAGTAAGAGCTCCAGAGTATTTGTGTTCCCCTTCTCTTGGCACACTGTGGTGTGAAGTGAACTTTTTGCTCTCTGGTTCCCACCTATGGCCTCCAATCCTTGTCGCCCGAGTGAGCAGAAGTGAATCAATCCAGTCTGATGGTTGGTTTTTAGTTTGCTGCAATATTTAAGCTGGGAGCCAGACAGCCTTTATTCAGAGGGCGACACATGGTGACGCACAGTACAATAGGATTCACAAACACAAATGGGAATGTATGTGACACTGGCATTGGGAAAAGGGCAATTTTAAAAGTGTAAACTTGACATGGTGCCTGATTCTGAACATATATTTTTAAAATCAGGACATTGTCACTTGATTTTCAACTAGCAGCGTTATCAATTATCTATTAGAAACTCTGGTTACATTTCTCAGAAACATTGGTTCTTTGGCTCACAAGAAGTGGTAATGTGACCTTTACTCAAATTTGTTCATGTCAATTTTTATGGACATACGGATAATGCTATGCTAAACCCATCAGAGAAAATGGTCACATCATAATGATAGATCTGTTCTTTTTTTTTTTGAAGGCTTGAAACTCATGGTTTCTTTTTTTACAATTAAATCCCAATCAAGCAAACATTTAAACATTCAAACATTTTTTATTTTATCATACATAATAATAACAACACTGTAATCTGGCAAGTGTCTTGTTTTTTTTCATGTGACAAAAATGCATCAGGACATGGCTATAAAAGCACCATGTTATCATGAAGCCAATGTACACTGAAACCAGTTTTATTTGTCTCATACATTACGATACTAGTCATCAAAAGTAACATTACCAGTCATGTAAATATATAACATTTAACATTTAAATTTACATAGTCAAATTTTACACATGCATTTATAGCAACATAAAGCCAAAAGAGTCAAGTCTAATTAGTCAAAACCACAACCAATAATCCCTCTCCTCTGGACAATGCTTTAGCCTGTGTGGACCACTTTTCATCCAACTGGAATGTGCTTTAGAAATAACATCATGGAGAAAGTGTTGCCATTGGTTGATAATGAAGAATGATGTTCAGCGGGTGGTTATGTGAGTGTTTGGTGGGTGGAGACAGTGCATTTGCATATATTCTTTATATGAAACATTAGCAACGCCTCTGCAATATATCACAAGTCAGTGTTAAACCATTTTATAGCTACTATAGACTAAGACTAACATGATAAACCCAATGACGCTATTGCGTTTAATATAGACAGAATGAAATACAAGAACAGGAGGATCACCTAAAATACCTCTCTACTATCATTTTAACAGAATAAATGATTACAGTTTATTTTATGGTCCAATTCTCACTATTAACAAACAATTAACTACGACTTCTCCCTCAAAAAACTCCTAATTTGCTGCTTAATATATAATAGTTAATAGTTAGTAAGGTAGTTGTTAAGTTGGGTAGGAATAGGTATGTAGAATATAGTCATGCAGAATATGTGCTTTATAAGTACTAATAAACAGCCAGTGCTGCGTTTCCCAAAAGCATTGTAAGTTTAAGTACATCGTAGACCCATTGAAACCAATGGAGCTACGATCAACTTAAGCTTACGATGCTTTTGGGAAACACAGCCCAGTATGTTAATAATAGGCATGCTAATAAGCAACTAGTTAATAGTGAGAATTGGTCCCTACTAAAGTGTTATCAAAAAATAATAACTGGATCAACGGTGAAGGCTGAGAATTTTGAATGCATCATGATCATTCAGGACACCAGTGTTAAAAGTCCCAAAAACAAAGAATAGTTTGTGTGTATATAACAGGGGTGTCCAAACTTGTGTTCAGCTTTGTTTTTGCTGGTTTTGCTGGGTGTTGGCCACTAATCAGACTGGAAGACTAGCTGGCCAACCACTTGAAGACCAGCTTGGCCAGCCATGTAGACCAGATTAAACCAGCTAAGACTTATGGTTGTCTTAAGCAGGGGTGTCCAATCCTGCTCCACGAGGGCTACTGTCCTACAGAGTTTAGCCCCCTACCCTAATTATTCACATCTGAACCAGCTAATCAAGGTCATCAGCCTAACTCAAAACTTCCAGGTTAATGTGTTGGAGCTGGTTGAAGCTGCAGGATATTGACCCAACTGGAGCAGGATTGGACACCCCTGCTTAAAACCATCCTAAGTATAAGCTAGTTTATGCTGGTCCATATGGTTGGCCAAGCTAGTCTCGCAGTCTGATAAGTGGCCAAAACCCCTCTAAAACCAACAAAAACAAGGCTGGGAGAAAAGAAGAGACCAGGAGGCCATCTTAAGCTGTTTGTTTTAGGCATCTACTGACCTTTTTGGCAACCAATATAGCCTGACAATAAATAAACCACATATTCTATCCTAACCTAGTTCTCTTGCATGGACTTTTAGTCCTACACAAGTATCTCAACATCATCTGCGTTATGCATCTGAGTATGCTGGAGCAAACAGTCCTCATGTTAGCTTGACCCTGAAGCCTTCATTTAAAGGTGCTACTTGTTGATATTGCCGGCGCTGGCAGCCTAAGCCAGCAGCAGAGTGGTGAATGGGTGTTGGGATTTCAAACAAAGGCATGATGTCATGATGAAGTCCGCTGTGTCCATTAAACGTGTGCACTGAGGCATGATCCCAGATTGTGCGAATGAAGCAGGCCCCAGGCTATGGCTAAGCATAGGACCATCCCTCAAACAAAGTTATCTTACGCCGATCTGCCTACATGCTGTTGCGCCACGTTTCCTGCTCCTGAGGGACAATTTAGCTGACAGCCATAAAACTACATAGGATACAGTGAAAGGCTAGCATTAGCATACAGGTAGCATTAGCAGGGAAAAGGGATAGGGGTCACATCCCCAGTGCTTTCACTCTGTACACAAAAAATTTAGTTGTTGGATAACTAAGGCAAGTTTAGTGAGACATTGTAGCTTTAATTTGTATGACTGGGACTTAATCTCACTTGGGATGTGTAAACTACTAAATAACAGTAGCTTTTGCACGGATAGTATTGTATTGTATTTATATCAAAGAACCCTTGCTGAAACTCTGGTCTAAGCTGGATTATACTTGATAGTGTTGGTCTAGCTGGTGGACTTCCGTAGCCAAATGGTTTGCATGATACTTCCATTGGTTTATGATGGGAGTTTGTGCTAGTTAAGTTAGTTTAGAATCCTGCAGGGAAAACTAGTACACCATTCTAGAGACTATCATCCAAAATTGAACAATGACTGGTCTTTCCAGAAGACATGTTAAGTATTTTTACTGGTTGTACATACTGGGTCACTTAAAGGGATAGTTTACCCAAAAATGAAAATTCTGTCATTAATTACTCTGTCAGACCTTTGTTCATCTTCGGAACACAAATTAAGATATTTTTGATGAATTCTGAGAGCTCTCTGACCGTCCATAGACAACAAGGGTATTACCACGATCAAGGCTCAGAAATTTAGCAAGGACATCGTTAAAATAATCCATGTGACATCAGTGGTTCAACCATAGTTTTACGAGCTACGATTTGGGAGAGTATCACATACGTAAACAACATATGCAACGTATGTAGGCGGATACGTTGTTTACGTTCAGATCAAAGCGTAATCACTGTAAAAACAGAGTATTTGCGTACAGTGCTGCTGACACAGAACAGCATACATTGTTTACGTATGTGATACTCTCCAAAATGGCGCTAGGGTGACGTGGAGGAGACGAATTGTTGAATAAAATCGTTATTTTTGTTTTCTTTGCGCACAAAAAGTATTCTCGTAGCTTTGTAAAATTACAGTTGAACCACCGTAGCATGATTTCCTTGCTACGTTTCTGAGCCTTAATCGTGTTAGGATCCTTGCTGTCTATGGGAGGGTCAGAGAGCTCTCAGAATTCATAAAAAATATATGTTTTAATTTGTTAATTTGTGTTTCGAAGATGAGCGAAATTCTTACGGGTTTGGAACAACATGAGGGTGAGTAATTAATGAAATAATTTTTGGGTGAACTATCCCTTTAATGTGTTTGTGAGCAATAGTAACAGAATGTACCACATTCTCTCTTAAATCTGTAAAAATTTTATTTACTTTCTAAACATTGCTCCAGACTCACACTGAACTCCTGCATGGTTTGACAGTGGTGCCCATCCTCTTGTTCTTCTGTGGTAATCCCCATTAATCTCTATTCTAGCGCCAGCCATTTGATGGATCCAATGTGTCTCTCTTCTCTCTGTTCTTTGTGCATACCAGAGATACCAGCTACAATAAGGAGGATTTACCTGATTCAATTCACTTCCATTCCACGTGGGAGACTAAAGAGTGAATGAAGCCTCACTGCAGACTTGCAGTGCGGAGATACCGTGAATGAGATTATTAAACTATCCTTAACATAGCTCTGTACGCCACTTTCTAGTGTAGCACAACCACATGGAATACAATGGAGAACACTCTTGGCTAACATCTTAACTACTGGGTTTGGTTGAGCCTTTGTTGTGGATAACAAACTTCCAGTTTTCACTAGAGATCTAATCTTACACCTTCGATGGGACACTGTCCAGTCTTTCTTGGTTTCTGAATTTAGCCTTTCTAACAAAGGGCTAAACCATCCATTATTGTGGCTAAATGATTACCTCCAAGAGCCGGAATGACCCGGAAAGAAAAGAAATGTCCACATACAGAGCATTGGGGTTTAAAAAGTTAATTTCGTGGAAGCATGGTGACAAACAACTATCTAACCACACCCTGACCAAGACCCAGCTTTCCATGGCCTTTCATGCATCACCTACAATACTGAATTGGCAGGAGAAAGGGTGGAGAAAAGGTGATCAATTGTTCTGTCCAAACTCAAAGGAAATGGATATGAGACTTCCTGTGCATGTACATGTTGGTTAAGGTACAGCAAGAGGAAAGAAAGGCCCATGGCAATACAATAGAAAGACGGAAGGTAGAGTGGTCACAAGTCACAAACAGAGGCTAAAAGACTGGAGTCTAGAGGCCCTGATAATGTTAAGGAGGTTAAAAAGGGGCAAGGCAATCATCTTGACAATCAATCATGTTCATCAGCTCAAACCAGAGTTCACCGAGTTCAGAGAACCTTGTTCTTTGAAGTTGGCATGAAATGGAAATTCACTCTATTTTCTTAAATTGAGTGGGTTCCCCTTAGTTAAAATCACATTCTGGGGTGGAAGAGGGACAGGGGTTTACAAATCAAATCTAGGGCAAAAATTACCTTTATCCAATAATCACTCAGTAGATAGAACAGAGTACCTGCCCTACTCTTCTTTTACATTTGTATCTCACAATACAGAAGAAAATATATGTCGCTACTTACGTTGCATCACGATTTTACCTAACACAACATAAAATTATGTTGCAGGTCTTCTAATTCTGTTATTGCTAATTCAGTTAGCAGTTACATTACTTACAATTTAATTTAATTTAACTTTATTCTTGAATCTCAACAGGTTTTACTTTTTTTTTTCAGATGTGCTCAAAAATGAGTTAAGGGCCTGGTAGATATGTCTTCATCTCAGAATGTTCTTGACTATACAAGAAAATTCCAACTGAAAACAACCTAAGGTCAATAAAACTGTCTAGAATGTTATTAATGCAATTCTTTAGCTACTGTAAATGTGCAGATTGTGCTCCAGTCATTAGCAATTAAATCCAGTTGATTTGGAGTACAAAGAAGAGCAGCAGAGTATTACCAGTAAAAGAAAATTCTCACATTGCATGCAACATTCATTGCTGTGTATGAACGTGTGGCTGTCTGGCTCTTTCTCTCAGCCAGGATTCTGTCAGGGTCGAGTCAGATCGCTCTTTAGCACCAGGTTGTAGAAGGGTCCACTCTCTCTCAGGTGATAACCCTGATGCAAAGGGTGTCTCTATCACTTGCTAGCATTATGCAGCTTCACGGCGTCCAGTATAAATAGATAGAGGTGGTTGATTAGTTTCAGACTCCCACATAGCAGATGTGCAAAAATAACACTCAAACTATTAAAATATAAAAAAAAAAAAATAATAATTCTACCATAAATGTGTCCATTGTCCATTAACAACTGAAAAAAATTTTTTTTTTACATTAAAAAAAACAGTATATTGCTGAAAATGATCACAAAATTTGTGTGAACTTGAGGGAAATTCATTCACCTATTAAAAAAGCTCAGTTCTTAGAAAGACTCTAGCATCATTTGTTCACGGAAGGCTTTATTATTTTTGTTTCTAATGCAAAGACATTCCTTTTTAAATATGGCTATAGTGTCTAAATACTTTTTGTGGTCACTGTGAATAAGTATTATATAACTGACTGGCGGTTTGTTCAAGTTTATCTGCTGACTTCAACAGCCACAAGTTCTATCCCAGAAAAAAAAAAAAATCAATCAATCTACATTTTTTTAACCTTTGCCCCTATAATCTTAAAGCTGAGTCTGAATGTCAGATCTGAAAGGGTCTAAGGTATCAGCACAACCACTGTGATGAGTAAGAATTTCGATAAAGGTATTTGCTGAGTGTGGAAAGCTGCCATCTTTTCTCCATTGTTTCCAAAAGGTGAATGCGAAAATAAACTTTGACACCAGAACACAAGAGCAGACGGAGACAGACACCAAGAGGTTGTTCTGCTTTTTTGTCCATTTCAGAAAAAGCCAGAGATATCACTTTGAACACTGCCAATGTTTTGTTTGGCGTTTGCAGAAGCCTTTTACGTAATAATCCGCTCGGCTGTTAGGACAACAATAAAGGTCAATATGAGGGACAGAAGCATGAAAGCAAAAAATAAAGGAAACGTTTGTCTTTTCATGCACGCTCATCAGGTGGATTAACACTGTCTAGGTGTCTAAAATGTGAGGGGTCAGGGCAGGTCACTATGCTTACAACGGTCCTCGCAATGATTTCTGGGTATAAATAAAGGATGGTTGAAATTTAACTGATATGACTATCACTTTTAAGTGGCATTGAATACATAAGGTGTGAGCAGAGCTGAGAAGAACTTCTTTTGACCTTTAGCTGTTTGAGCAATATATATAGCGATCATTTACACCTCTCACTGACCTTGTTTCAGGCTTATATGTGGTGTCGTGTGGTTTGGGCACACTGTGGCAGAGCTAAATGAGGAGAAAGGCATTTTATCGCTGTCCGTATGACCAGGGCCAATGAGAGAGTGCTGTTAGTCACAGCGGTGTTGATGACAACTTCAAGTGCCACAGTCACACGTTTCCTTTAGTGGTTCCAGCAGCTCTGGAGACCCGTTAAAGGAACAGAAGCAACATTGATTTGTATTATTGGTTATGTTTGTTATACTGATAATTCCAGGTTTTTTAATTGATCGGAGATCTTGAGACTGGTGTCAGAAACAGTAACAAAGAAAGCAAACTCCAGACTGATATAACTGAACAGTGGCCCAAAGCTAGTCCGGTCACATGGTGGGTCTCTTCAATGTCCCATTACCAATACGCATCATGTGCCTGCATCACTCATATAAAAGTGAAGGATTATAAAAGAGATATTTGTTGTCGAGTTGGTAGTGTGGCATCTTACTTTTTAAAAAGTTGTGTGAGAAACATTGTAATTGGATGAGTAAATCTTTGTTCTTTTAGAGACCCGGAGGCACTTTTAATAGCTTGGCAGACATTGAAGTATCATGTTGATATTGTAACAAATTTCTTAATCTTGATTATACTTATGATACACTGATTATAAACAAAATTTCAGCTTGATAATTATGAGTCAAATGATCCCCCATGCAAAATGTTGGTTTATTTCCAATAGTGTTCATAAGTTTGGGGTCAGTTTTGTTCTGCAGGGATGCATTAAACTGATCAAAATTTACAGTAAAATACATTTATGTTACATTTATGAGTATTTATTTTTAAAATAAGTTCTGTTCTTTTACATTTTCTATTCATTAAAGAACACTGAGACAAATCTATCATGGTTTTCACTAAAATATTAAGCAGCTCAACTGTTTTCAACATTGATAATAATAATAAGAAGAAATGTATTAGATTGCTTATGATTAGAAGCATATTTGAATGACTTCTGAAGGATCTGAAAATTCAGCTTTGCGTCACAGGAATAAATTACATTTTAAAATATATTCAAATATAGTGGTTTTAAATTGTAATAATATTTCACAATATTACTGTTTTCACTGTATTTTTAAATAAATAAATTCAGCCTTGCTGGGAATAAGAGACTTCAAAAAAAAAAAAAAACATAAAAAATCTTACCAATCCCATGATGCTATAAGATACTACTGTGTAATGGATGGATATCATCATCTATAGGAGTGCATGATGCTAGTTTATGATAAAACAGGCTTAAAGCATTAATAATACCTTGGGTTTTGATTGAGTTAGAGGCACATATTTAAAAATCGGTTAAAGTTAACTTTTCAGTTGAGTCGTATGAACCTTCTAGAGCTCAAAATAATAATCAGGAGACCACAAGCCTGAGTCGAATCCCCATTGTTTCTCAATACAATCTCACTTTCCTTCCTGATGAGGAGATATTCCTCCAACTAAAATAGAGTGGCAGTCCGGCATTGTGAGAGGAGAGGAGGAGGAGGAGTAGAAGGAGGTGGCGAAGGAAAGGGAGGGAATGGAGGTGGTACTGCTCTGGTGGTATTTCTTAACATGTCCTTTGAGTATGCGAGCACTTTCAGATCGTCCATGACGGTGGTCGGCCTGCTAGCAGCTGTTTCTGATTATCAGCAAGTCTGTAATCTGTCATCCACTGACACTGAGAGGACAAGGACTCATCTAAAGAAGACTGAATTGATTTGGTTTAATTTTACACTAGACGTATCTGAAGATTCATTTTGGGGTGAAACACCAGAGGTGAGCATCTATAAAGACATTCATCTTTCCGTTCTCAAACCCAGAGACTGTGGACGGCTAGAAACTACCACAGCGAGTCATCCATCAATTCCAGCTTTATCTTTGAAGGAGACGGCTTACGTTTTGTCAACCGGCGTAATAAAGAGTCCGTTTTCACCATCAGTCTGTGGAATATACTGATGACAAGTGAACAAGAAGCAATCTGTCTGCAAACAGCCTTGTGTCCACAACTTGACCCTGTCAGGAAGATACAACAGGAAGAAAAAGAGCTGCAGTTCAATCACCTTATTCCCACTGAGGTGTCAACATACCTTCTTCAGCTCTTCAGCATCCCTGCCAAGAAGACAGCATCAACAGTCTGACTCCATTCTAGATCGTTCATCTGAAACACTCACAAAAATCACAGAACATATGAACAGAACCATATATCAACGTGAAGCTTCGGCTGACGTTTGAAGGCCTCTGAGGCCCGCCAAGTAGTTCTGGCAACTAATCACACATCCTAAAAGCAGAAGAGACAGGAAGTGTTCTCAGGTAAAGAGGCAGAGCGATCAAGAATCTGTCAAGATTCATCACTAAACTGCCAACTGTTTACACATCAGTTGATAGAGAGACAAACACACACCTGTCGGATCTTTAACAGACACCTGTTGCTCCACAACTACTAAAGGTATGTAAACGATTATATACAAACATTGGCCCCACTTTATATTAAGTGGCCTTAACTACTATGTACTTACATCAAAAATGAAGTACAATGTACTTATTGTGTTCATATTGTATTGCAAAACACTTTTGCTGCTATTGAGGTGGAATGCGGGTAAGGTTTGGGACAGGTTTGTTGGTATGGGTAGGTTTAAGGGTGGGTTAAGGTGTAAGGGATGGGTCAACTGTGTAATTATAAATGTAATTACAGAAATTAATTACAGATGTAATTACATGCAGATATTTTTTCAAATATAAGTACAATGTAAAAACATGTATGTACACAATAAGTGCATTGTACCAAATTATTCATTTAAATGTAAGTACATAGTTGTTAAGGCCACTTAATATAAAGTGGGTCCCAAACATTTTGTTTAAAAATATGATTAAATAATTGGAAATGCCTTCAATATGCCTGAAATTGAATATATGTCACCCTGGACCACAAAACCACTCATAAGTAGCACAGGTTTATTTAAAGCAATAGCCAACCATACAATGTATGGGACAAAATTATTTAATTAGGATATTATGTAAAGATCATGTTCCATGAAGATATTTTGTAAATGTCCTACCGTAAATATATCAAAACCTAATTTTTGATAAGTAATATGCATTGCTAAGAACTTCATTTGGACAACTTTAAAGGCGATTGCACCCTCAGATTCCAGATTTTCAAATAGCTGTATCTCGGCCAAATATTGACCTATCCTAACAAACCATACATCAATGGAAAGCTTATTTATAGCTTATTTATTCAACTTCAAAACATTTACCCTTATGACTGGCTTTGTGGTCCAGGTTCACAAATATATCTCAAAGTATATATATATATATATATATATATATATATATAACCATAATTTGTTGCCACAGAAACTAATAAAACAAACAAATAAATATTTCTTTAAATGTCACATGTTGGAATCAAAACTCAAATATCGATGTTCCTAATATGTATGACTTCCTGACATTAATCAGAGTCTAAGGAGCGGAGGAATATTTTTGGCACACAGTAAAATTCTGAATATGAAATTCAATAGGTGTTTCACTGATCTAATTTAATCTAACCTTGCCGACTTTGGCTGCGAATCAATATTAGGTCTCCTATTTAATTAACATGCTGGGAACTAATAGGAAAAGCCTGATGAATAAACTGTTATGATGGTTGCCAGGAGAGCGTCTTTGAATACATCGACACACAATGGGAGCCTTGAACGGACTTGTGAAGGAGTATCCTATGACAAAACTCAATCTCTAAAGCTTAGCCTTGTTGCTCCTTTTGCTGTTTTTAGTTTTCAGATGTCATCAAGTTATTTCAGTCATGCTGTCAGCTGTATTAAATTGCTGATCATACTCTTATGTGTACACGCCCATTCTTCTGGAAAAGCACCCGCAGCTCATCTTCTGATTCTTGACTGTAAACCAGACATGTCCATCTGTTCAGGGGTATATACGAGCAGACAGCCAATTTTATTAATACATTTTTTGGAGAAGCCATTCAGTGTAAGACTCATCCATCAGTGCTGATTTATCTTCAGGATTTTAAATCTAACTCTTAAAAAGTCAATTTTACTGTATTTTAGTAATATAGATTCTCTGTTTGCATTGCTACTGACTCTGAATTCCATATCTATGTAGCTAGCAGGCTTTCTTTATTGTGCCGTCTGCCACAGTGCTGACTCAAATAGACAGGTTCTCTTCTTGATGGCTGTTTGTGCGGCTCTTATCTATCTCCAGATGCCCCTGCCACAAAACAAAAAAAACTCCCACATTGTTCTCCTTTCCTCGGGTAAACAAGTGGAGAAGGGAGTAGGTCTCACCACCTTCCTCCTGAAAGTTTCACTGACTCAGAAATAGCGCTGAGAAATGTTCACATACAGTTAGACTGCTGATATACTGTTTGCATGACCCATGACACAATTTTTGTTGCAACTAAAAATCCCTGCAACAAAAAACAGGTACAGTCAAGTCAAGTCAAGTCACCTTTATTTATATAGCGCTTTTAACAATACAGATTGTGACAAAGCAACTGAACAGCATTGATTAGGAAAATAGTGTCAATAATGCAAAATGACAATAGTAAACACTCATTTTTCAGTTAAAGACAGTTCGTCATTGAATTCAGTGATGTCAACATCCAGCTCAGTTTAAATAATATCTTTGCAATCATGTCAACGATAACGCTGGAAATGAAGTGTCCCCAACTAAGCAAGCCAGAGGCGTACAGTGGGTACGGAAAGTATTCAGACCCCCTTAAATTTTTCACTCTTTGTTATATTGCAGCCATTTGCTAAAATCATTAAAGTTCTTTTTTTTCCTCATTAATGTACACACAGCACCCCATATTGACAGAAAAACACAGAATTGTTGACATTTTTGCAGATTTATTAAAAAAGAAAAACTGAAATATCACAGGATGCACGATATATCGGCCACCATATCGGTATCGGCCCATATCGGCTCATTTTTTCTGTTATCGGTATCGGCCTGATACAGTGCATGTATGAGAATCATGAGGTCAAAGGAACTGCCTGAAGAGCTCAGAGACAGAATTGTGGCAAGGCACAGATCTGCAGATCTG